CTTGGCTCTGGTCCTCGAGAAGGAGGCAGCTTACTTGGCTCTGGTCCTCGAGATGGAGGCAGTTTACTTGGCTCTGGTCCTCGAGAAGGAGGCAGTGTTCATGGTTCTGGTCCTCGAGATGGTGGAAATTTTCATGGCTCTGGTCTTCGAGATGGGGGCAGCTTACTCGGTAAAGGACCACGTGAGGGCTTGTTGGGCCATGGTCCCAAAGAAAACCCAAGTCAATTTGGCCAGGGAAATAGAGAAAGCCCAAGTCAATTTGGCCAGGGAAATAGAGAAAGCCCAAGTCAATTTGGCCAGGGAAATAGAGAAAGCCCTAATCAGTTTGGCCAGGGAAATAGAGAAAGCCCAAACGTTATGGGTCAAAGGCCCAAGGAAAGTCTTCTAGGGCAAGGGCCCAAAGAGAAAAGCTCAGGCCTCCTTGGATCTGGTCCAAATGATGGTCCTAATCGCCTCGGTGCTGGTCCTCGAGAAAGTCTTCTGGGTTCAGGTCCAAGAGAGACTCCAAGCTTGTTGGGTAAAGGCCCAAGAGAGTCCCCAAGTTTGTTAGGACCTGGTCCTAGAGATAATGCAAACCGACAAGGACCCCCACCAAGAGAAGCATTACTCAAAACACCTTCTGGACCCAATGCAAGAAGTACCTGTAATTCTAATATTGACTCAAATCCTTATGAACGTGCGTCTCCAGGAGGTGGGCCTTCTCATGGCAGTCGTGGTGATGGAGACAACCGGTTTGGTGGCCCCAGAGGATCCTCAGAAGAAAACAGACGAAATCCACATAGAGGTAAATGTCAATTTATGTATGCAAGTATTCCCAGTATTCTTAACATATTCTTTTTTCTATTAATTGTTAATATTTAATTGCAGGGATTGACAGAGGCCCATTTGGATCGAAAGGTTCTGGCACATTCTCTGAGCGAAATCAAGGTGGATCTAATAAGTCTGATGAGAGCAATTCGAAATCTAGTCCAACTATGAATGCGAGTCTAAGTGGAGGTAAGTTATATTTTTTATATTAAATGTACAAATTTTGAAAAATACTCTTTCCAAATTTTGTTCTTTAATGCACAAATTAGAAGCTATGTTTAAGCTTCAAATATTAAATTATTTCTTTTTCCAACAGAATCCAATGTACGTAATTCACCTCTCAGCTTTGAAGAAAGAGCACGCAATGTGAAGGGTCCTGCAGGATGGAATGAAGGAATGATGGATCAATCCGAAGAGCTCAAGGGAAATTCTAGTTCCAACGACAGCAGCAATTTTAAAAATAGTAATCACCCTAATACTGGCCTAAAGGATGATTTTCGCCGTGGAGACTTCAAAGAGGATAGTCAAGGGCCCTCAATCTCCCGTGATGATCACAGAGGACCTTCTGGCTCTCGAGACGACTTCAGAGGACCGTCTGGTGGAGGCCGAGACGACTTCAGAGGCCCCCCTGGTCGAGACGACTTCAGAGGGCCTCCTGGCCCTCGAGATGACTTCAGAGGACCGCCTGGCAATCGAGATGACTTCAGAGGACCGCCTGGTGGGGGCCGAGATGACTTCAGAGGCCCTCCAGGTCGAGATGACTTCAGAGGACCTCATACCCACCGAGATGACTACAGAGGACCTCCCGGTGCCCGTGATGGTCCTCGGGATAACTTCAGAGGATCCCCCGGCCCCCGAGACGACTCAAGAAATCGTGAAGTGTTCGTGGACCGTTTTGGTCGCGACATGCCAAGGCGCCAGGACAAGGAGGACGCTAAGCCCGGTCCCCCCGAGGAACTCAAAGTGCCCATTGAGCGAGACTGGAACCATGGTGGGGTGAGGCCAGTGGATCGCTGGGAAGCTGCTGTGGGAGGCACCCCGGTGGCCCCCGCAGCGCCTGTAGACGACTTCAAGCTGCCCACCGTGGTAGACTACGGCCACGGCGCCCCTTCTGCGCCGGCTGCACAGCCCGCCGCCGCGCTGGCCCTGCCCACCTTGGAGCCGGTGGCCACCTTCGACTACGGCCACGGCGGCAGCACGTCGGCGTCGCGCTCCAGCCCACCACGAGGCGGGAGTCCGTCCTGGCGGGAGCGGGAACGCGAACGAGAGCGCTTCGATCGCGATCGACTTCGTGAACGCGATCGCAGCTGGGAACGGGAGCGCGAGGAGCGCGAGAGGTTCTTCAGGGATCGCGACCGGGACCGCGAGCGGGAGCGGGACCGCGACCGCGACCGCAGGCCGCCGGTCCGAGAGCGCTTCGAGGAGGACCGTTTTGGCGGAGATCGCTTTGGCGATCGCTTTGCTGACCGGCCTCGGAATGGGCCGCCTCCGTCGGGTCCAGGACAAGGACCTCGAGGGACCTGGAGGGAGCGCGAGCGCGACCGACGTGAGCGGCGAAGGCCTTCCCCGCTGGCCGAGCCGCCACCAGCCCCGCCTCCACCCTCCGTCTCCGCGGACTCCCCTGGACCGTCCCTCCCCAGGCCCGTCCTTATCGAGGACCTACTGTGCCCTCCTGGGCGCACTAGTCGTCCAGCCAACTTTGTGATCATCTTGCGCGGCCCTCCGGGTTCAGGCAAGTCCTTCCTCGCCAAGCTCATCAAGGACAAGGAGGTAGAGCAAGGGGGAGCAACACCGCGAATGCTAAGTCTGGACGACTACTTCGTGACGGAGGTTGAAAAAGAAGAGCGTGACCCAGAAAGCGGGCGGCGAGTCAAAACGAAGGTGAGATTACTTTCTACCTGTTGGGTGATGTTTTGCATAGTTGTGTTACAACCAACCTCAGCTACTGTTTTTCCTTGTTCACTGATATAGCACCACTCCATTAAACTGTATTTTCTACTTACAGGTAATGGAGTATGAGTATGAAGCTGCCATGGAGAAGACTTATCATGACTCTCTAGTGAAGGCATTTAAGAAAACTATTAGTGACGGGTATTTCAGTTTCCTCATCGTTGATGCTATTAATGATAAAGTGTCACACTTTGAAGAAATGTGGCACTTTGCTAAAACTAAAGGATTTCAGGTCTGTGTCAAAATATGGTCTAATATGAACCTCCGTAGAATCAGTCTTGTCATGTTTACTCATGAACTCTCTTATTTCAGGTTTACATTTGTGAACTTGATCGAGATCTTCAGACCTGCCTAAAGCATAATATTCATAATCGCAGTGAGAAAGATATAGAGAGCTCAATAAAAAATTGGGAGGATACTCCTCGTCAGTACTTGCGCACTGATCCCACATCAATGCTTCAGTCAGCTGCTATTGAAGATGTAGAAATGGAAGACGTTTCTGATGATGATTTCAAAGATGATTCTGATCCGAAAGAAGAGGATAAAAAGGAGGATGAAGAAGAAAACGAAGAGGAGGTAAGTCTTCTTACTCTTTACCTTTAGTGTTTCAATTCAAAATGTGTTTGAATTAATGGTGCTTTTAATTGTTCCAGGCTAATGTCTTTATGAGCAAGTGGGAAACAGCGGATTCTCAAGGAGATAAGATGGGTGAGTAGACATTGGGACAGTATTGATGTAACTATCAACCTCTTTCACTAATGGTGATATATTGTATAAGACTCGGTGTACTTGACACCATAAGTTTAAAAGTTGATATGACGTTCGAAAACGGCTCTCCCGTTTACATCGTTGCGCCATCCAACTAACGCGATGCAATGCGGTTTTCGAACGTGGAAGTGAAAGCGTATTGCTGCATTAGCTGATCACAATTTTCCTATCATTTGCGATTTTGTCACCTTTTGCGTATTAGCTTGCTATTGTGTAATTGGTCAATTTTTTAAAAGTATAGTGCTTGCATGCAATGCTGAAGATCTATGGTCAGCGTACAGCAGGTATCAAAAAAGAAGAGTTTGCTTTTTTTTCTCTCAGGCGTTGATATGCAACTTTCCTCTTTGTTTTTGTTCTGCATCTGTGTTTTCTGCTCTTCGTATGTGTTATCAGCCACCCCTTACTTGATAATTTCTGACACAAACACTCAATTTGTGGTTTGTTATGCATTTGGAGTAATGCATACCGCAGCAAACATAGTCCATTTATAATTCTGCATACTGCTCCCCTAAAGTGCCATCCATCATATTTGAAATTTCCAGACCGCTTGGATGGTTTGGCGAAGAGAAGAAAGGATGGTGCCCCTCAAACATTAGAGGATTGGTTGCAACTGCCAGACAACTACGAGGAGAAAAAAGCTACACCTGGCAAAAAGCAGGTTAGTAGTTGTATAATGTGTGGGGAAAGTTACTTCAAAATCTTGCCAAACTAGCATTCTTAGACATCAGTTTTGTGTGTCATTTTCTTAAAGTATTATCTATCTCTTAGGTGCGGTGGGCAGATTTGGAAGAGCGGCGCAAACAAGAGAAAATGCGAGCCATTGGTTTTGTTGTGGGACAGACTGATTGGTCTCGTATGACAGATCCAACATTTGGGGAGGGTGCCCTTACTCACACAAAGTACATTTAATGGAGTGTTCTTTCCTGACTTTGTATTTTATCCTCTGAAGGTCGCATCTATGTTATTTATGTTGTTTCACACTTTTACTATTTGATGTCACATTTTGTTCTGAAATTTAGTGTCATTTTTTTGTTGTTCTAAATGTTGAGTTCACATTTCAAAGATTTTCTGTTTACTTTTACACTTTCAGTGACGCATCAGAAAATGATTAACTTCTCACCCTGTCTCACTGTGTGAATTTCTTTTGAATGACTTACGTCATGCGACCTGCAGAGGGTCAGTTGTAATTGCCAATTATTTACAGTATGTATTTTGTGATTTCCTTTTTTTTTCCCCCTTCTATTTTACTTGTTTTGCACATAATGTGATCTCCATTAATGTGAGTTAAATTATATTATAATTATCTTAGTTAAGGTATTTTTGAAGCTTCTGTATATTGTGTTAAGTATATTTGAATGGAGCTCATACACTTAAATATTAGTTGTTTGATGTGAAAGAATTTGATATCAGTACCACAGAATCAAACTGAAATAATGCTCTCAACACTTCTTAGATGATCAACCTCTTAATTATAAAAACAATCATTTCTTCTTTCATGAAAATTTGTCCCTTTGATATTTCTTTGAAAGTTTTGGTACAACCCTTTGACGTAATGAATGAGAGTGTGGTGATTTTTAAACATGTTCTTTAAACTTACCTTAGGAATAAATGGAGATTGTAACTGTGAGGTGTTGTTTTTCTAAATACCCTTTATTTAACAGAAGCAGGTTCCTTGCTGGAATTGGTTGCAGGAATGTTTTCCTTTTCTTTTCTTTTTCTTAATTTAGATAACACTTTCAGGTTGCTGGTCCAGCCTCCAAACCAAATGAGTCGCTCACATTTTGTTTTATCAATTCCACTTTGTTTGATACAAATTAACCATTCCACTATCACTTTCTGAAACTTTCCTGCATTCACCACATGATTTATGTATTTCATGAATTTGTCATGAAACCTATTTTTGAAAAAACAATGATGATGGGGGGGGGGGGTCAGTTTTTAGTGGTCATCTGAAGCTTCCAACTATAAGAGATTCTGTTCATATATTGGATGATCTGTGCACTTTAACTCAACAATCATATCAAGAATCGAGTGACCGTAACATTCTTGCTACAGCAGACGAGTTAAATCAATAACTTTGTATTAACTACCTAACTTGACCCATCATTCAACTTGACACAAATTACTTTTACAAAATACAAAACACATACATACAAAGTTAAAATGAAGTGAAAAAAAAAACTTTTCTTGATTACATTTTAAAATTTTCTTTTGCACTTTTATTGTTTGTTGCCCTTTATTTTTCAAAACAGCAGCAGATTCAAACCCCACCAAATTAACACAAATGTGTTGCATTCGTTCTCCTTTTATGAAGCGGAACAAAAGACAACATTGTGACAACATTCTAATCCCCTCCCCTCTTTGCGATTCAGTGTAAACATTACTTTCGTCCTTGAAGCGATGAGGCCTTGGCTTCCTCACTCGACCCCCCCCACCCCCACCCCCTTTAACGGCTCACCAGGGGCCCCAACAACACCGTGGTGAGAGCCGGGCGATGGGCTGACCTGACCTGCAGATCGCTGCCGACATGGCCCCCTGCTTATGGTCCTCACTGCACCGCGGCCCCGCAGCGAGCTCACTTACACCGCCCCATCCTCATCCTCATCTCGTGGAACACCCACATCGCTTTCGGATTTCCTCCCGTTCCCCTTAATTCTTTCCATCGTTCATGCCAGCCCTTTGTGTGCGAGCACCCCCCTTCCGCTCCTTTCCCCCAGCCGCGCCCGTTCCCTTACCCAGCTCTGCCTTGCTGGGGGGAGAGGGGTGGGTTGAACAGTAGAAGTCCTTCCACCCCCTCCTCTTCGTCGCCTTCCCGTGACTCATCCCTCCCCCTCTCCCCCTGTCTTTGCGTATGCCACTCTTTCTCGCTCTCCCTCTTCCTCCCTCTCGCCACTCTATCCACTTCCATAGCTCCCTCTCTGTTCCTCTCGCTCGTTACACGGCGCTAGCGAGCGTGGCGCTGGCCTGGCCGCCTGCGAGTCTCGTCCGGGAGCACCGCGTCGCACAGCAGCGGTAGCCTGGGCGGAGGGAGCCCCGTCCCGCCCCGCCCCGCCCCGCCTGCTCCACGCCGACCCTCATCGGGCCCCACCCCCTCGACCCCCGCCGGGCCCCGCCGGGCCCCACCCCCTAACCCCCGCGACCCCACTGGGCCCCACCCCATCGCTGCCACCCCCACAGCCCCGCGGAACCCCGCGGAGCTGTGCGGACTCGCGGACCCCCCTCCACTCCTCCCCGATGTGGGGGCCCGAGGGGGTCTCCTAGCCGCCTCGGCTCGGCTCTGGCCGGCTCGGCTCTGCCCGGCTCGGCTCGGCTCTGCTCGCGGTGTGGAGCAGACGTGCAGTCTAGTCTAGTCTCCTCTCGCCAGGCGTCGCCTTCGCACCGCAGCCAGGCTCTCGCACAGCACCGCCGTGAGCAGGCGGCCGAGCTGAGCGAGCTGCGCGGAGCTGCGCGGTGCGGCCCCCTGGCGCCCCCGGACCCTGCCCTGCCCCGCCCGCTCCACGCCGCCGCGTGTCTGCCCGCGCCGCTGTTCGTTGTCGCGGCGCAGCGTGAGGCCGTGTCGTGTCGCGTGTCCGCGCGTGTCGCCTGCTCCTGCTGCCGCCGGGCACACCGGGCTGCGCGGGCTGCGCGAGCACCAAGTGATGGAGTACCGTCGTCGCCGTGGTGCCGGGCTGAGCTCGCTGAGCTGATGTGTGAGTTTGCCAACACCTCCTCGGGGGGCGTGGCGCGGCGGGCGCGGCGGGGCGTGGTGGCCGCCTGTCCTCCTCCGTGCATGTCAGCCCCGCAACAAGTCCAGAGGCTGGGGTGGGGCCGCGCGGGCCGCACCGGGCCGGGCCGGGCTTGGGGGCGGGCGGGGACAATAATGGTATGCCCTTCCTGCGCTGCGCCCGCTGCGCTGGCCCAGCCGAGGGACGACCCGGGACAGTAATCTGCTTGAGCCGCGCGTCACGCCGGCCGGGACCTGTCCTGCTGTCGCTGTCCGTCGCGGACGTGGACAGGATCATTCTACTGGACGCGGCGCGGGCGCGGCGGGGCGGGCCCGCTGCTGGGACTGGGAGTCACGCTGTCACGCTGACGGTGAACAAGTCCACCGGGAGCGCACCCCTCCGCACCCCCTCTCCGCACCCCGCTCGGGCCACGTCGCGTGCTGGGCCGGCCGGCGGGCCGGTCTGAGGGCCAAGGGCCGACCCGGCGAGCGGGGGTCAGAGAAAAGGAGGGGGCCACACCCGGCGCGACCCGGCCCGGCCGGGCCCGGCGCTGCCGGCCGACCTCGATCCCCTTCAATATACCCGCCGCGCCCTCCCGCCCCGCCTCGGCCCCGCCGCCGCGCCCTCCAGCGCTCTGGACGCGGTTCTGATGGACGGAATTCTTCATCCGGCTCTCGCGTGCCGGGGCGGGCCTGCGGTGCCGCGGCCCTTCTTGTTCAACAACGCGGCGGGTGCTTCGCGGCGGCCAGGCCGGGCCGGGGCCTGGCGGGGCGCTGATGGAGGCGGTGTAGTGCGGGCCGACCGACAGAGACAAGCCGCCCGCCTGCACCGCACAATCAGCCGGCCGGACGAGAGGGGGTGGCTGACACCGGTCGCGGCCCTGAGCAGCTGAGCCCCCTGCCCTGCCCCCCTCTCCCCCTTTCCCCTCTACTTTAACGCTCCAGGGCGCGCATTACTGACAACACACAGCCCCTCGTCTCGCCGGGGTGCCTCTTTCTCTGCCGTTCTCCGCACACAGCACAGACTTTGTTCGTTTTTATATTCTGGTCCACGATGCGCTGGGATGGTGTGGGAGGGGAGGAGGGTGGGGGAGTGGAGGCGGGGTCTGCATGCGGCGCTTTTTACCAATCTGTCCTCCCTTTCCTACCCTCCACCTCCCTCCTCCCTAGCTCACCGCCGACCGGACCGGGCAAACGTTCAACTTCCTGTCCAGCTGGGGCAGCTGCAGGGAGACATTGTGTGTGTGTGCGAGTCGGGAGTAGGGGTGTACTGCTGGGAATATTTAGATTCATGACCCTACCCCCCCCCCCCCACACACACACACACACCATGGGCACATTTATTAGGTTTGGCCGACCTGCGTCCCTATTCCGACACAGGCCCTGACCTGAAGTTTGTTTTTCCCCGCGGGCCAATGGTTTCGTACTGACGGCAGCAACGAGTCTGCTCCGCACTGAGCGGGAGCGGATCTCTGTTGAGATGGGCCGAAAGAGCCGGTCCCAGCCACTGTGGTAGTTTGTTCCCGCCACCAGTTGACAAAGTCTCTTTCTTTGAAAATCGCTTGCAGTCTGACCTTTTGATTGGTTAGAAAAGAAATTTTTTAAGGCCACCATCCCATTTTAAGAAATGCGCTATCAAATCAAAATTTCGTGGAAAACGCAATTACACAGAAATGTTTTCAGTGCCTCGTCTGAGCACAGACGGCCATACCTCTTCTTTCTTTTACTTCCTGACTCCGTTCCAACAAGGTCGGAGCCTCGGCGGGGAGCAGGATACAGGAAAGCGCCATCCGCAAAAAAGGAAGCCAAAAGAGAGGAGGGGGAAAGTGCGGGGCTGGTCGGAGGAAAGTCTTGACGCTGGTCCAGCCAGTAGGGAGCCGCAGGGAGCTGTGCTGGGTTACACCCTCCCCTTCCTCTCACCCCCCTGCCTCCCGCAAGCCTCATCTGCGTGTGTGCGTGTGTGTTTCAGTGCAGGCCGGGGGATTCCACCCATAAATAGAGAACTCGCCTCGACTGTGGCAGCATCAGTGGGGCGGCCGTTCGCTGTGGTAGGCTAGGTGCGGTGCGGCGGTGCTCTGGTCTTGCCGGAGATGGCGCCTGGTGGGTGGGCAGTCCCGCCGGGCACCTCTGTGTGACGGCACTGCCTACCCGGCAGGCGCTCTCCATGGCGCC